CTCCCCCCCCAGCCATCCCCCCACCAGCGGCCAGCCAGTGAGCGACCCTTTGTCCGCAGCCCAGTCCATCTTCCCCTACCCTGTAGTGACTGTCTCTCTGTGCTGGTCGACACCCGGTTCCACTTACATCCCTCTTTGTTTATTTCTGTATACATCATTTTCACTGCACTGTTAATATCTTGTACAGCACTTTATTAAATCTGTTTGCACCAAAGTCAGTTCTCTGGGTTCGTTTTCTATGCGCCCTCACCTCCCTGTGGGGAAGCGATCATAACAGATTTGGCTTTTTGTTCTCTGCTTTTTTGTGTTGTTCCAATGCAAACAAAAGAAATAAACATGAGAATACCAAAGACTTTGTGATTGCAATGATTTTCCAGGAGAAGTGGTGTATTATCTGACAGAAATGCAGAGGTGCCAATATTTTTGGCTATGACTGTACTTAACACCAGATGTTTAGAACAATACAGTATGTGTATATCTTGATAGATGGATAAAAAAATCATATGCTGCCTTCTGAGACACTGCACTGCAGGTTGTACGTGTGTGTACATGGTGCATAGGGGTTGAGTTGTATACAGGGACCCTCTACCCTTCCTTGCTGTGTCCAGGGAGGAAGAGCCAGGACAGAGGAGCCCAGGGGCCAGGAGCCTGGGAGGACACAGGGAGGTCACTTCATCTACCGGTGTCACACTCTAATTCATCTGTCAGGGCCTGCACATGAGCAACATGCACACATACATACACCAGTACACAAGCACACACTGTTGCATGGGGACAAAACAACTCTCTCTCACACACATATACACACAGTGGGACAGTGAGGTGACAATAACTCACTTTAGCGGCTTTCAACAGGATCTCTCTCTCCTGCTCGTCCTTCCTCTGCTTCTCGATTCTCTCCAGCTGCTCGAAGAAGCGGAGCTGAGAGCGAACGTCTGCAAACTGCTCATAGCACTCATCGTCCTGTCAAGCAGACAGAAAGAAAATCACCGCAACAGCAATAGTTGACAAAAAAAAGAGCTCAAAGTCCCATACGTACTGAATACCTCAAATTCAGCAG